TTTCATAACACTTTCTGATTATTAGAGTTACATCTAAAGCATGGTAGCAGGGCAGGTTGTTCTGCCGCTTTTTTGCTTTGCCCTACTGCCCGTTTTGACTTATCCGTTGACCAAACGCTGCACCCTAATGCAGTATTTGTCTTCTTCATATCTAGTCTTAGCTGTTTCATAACACTTTCTGATTATTAGAGTTACATCTAAAGCATGGTAGCAGGGCAGGTTGTTCTGCCGCTTTTTTGCTTTGCCCTACTGCTCGTTTTGACTTATCCGTTGACCAAACGCTGCACCCTAATGCCTTTCTAATCCATTAATTGTAATTCGTTTGTTTATATATAGAATAAATGGCTGATATAGGTATAGAAAACTTTTATTTAATGCAGGAGAGAAATAATGTTTGATTTTCTTAGTTCATCTTCTGTTGTGAAAGCAGAACTGAAGACATCGATTGTGTCAAAAGTGAAATCCCCTGAAGTTACCTGACCTCCAATAGAGCATCCTGAGTGCAAGACATTGAAGTACGTGCTAATTGTAATCGTAGAAATTCGCTCTGACAAAATCATATTGTTTCTTAGTTTCATAAAAAGCATAAGTGTTGGTAAGGCATCATGCCATCTGTTAAACAAAAGTTAAAGCAGCTAAGACTGCCATATCAAACCACTGCATTAAATCCTTTCTCAAAGGAAAAACAATGTAATTTATAACTATTATTTTTAAATTTTTGTTGCTGTTTTGCTTTGGCAGGACTGTACATGAACTATCTTTTATAGCTACTACCATTTTAGTGTTTAACAAAATAAATAAGTTTTTTGAGACCATTTTAGCTAGATTTGCAACAACAATATGAACAAGAATAATTTGCTATGTAAACTCTATATGAATAGATCTAATTGTCATAGATTGAGTAAAATATATTTTGGTCAATCAGATAAAACCTAGGCCATCCTAAAAAATGTTTCTTTGTTGTTCCTCTATCCAGTATTTTGAGGTTGGTAGGAAGGTCGGAATTTTTTTTGTTGACTGCCAATAACTTTAAAACATGTTTTTTTTTTTTTGTATTCCGATGGGCAAAAATTAATTGAGTCAGGGTAAACTTGTATGAGGACAATTCTGCCAGTGTTAAGTATGTAAAAAGCATAAGAAACAACTGTGGGAAAGACTAATGTTGACTGTGGCATAATGTACCCAACTCAAATGAAGCTGATGTTAGGAAAAGAATGACTGAGGCTTTGTCATAACATTAATCCACGAATGTCTGCAGGAATATGAGAAACTCAATGGATATAGGCAGACAGAGTAATGTCTTGCTAATTAATAAAAAGTGATCAAAAACAAAATAACGTTATAAATCTTTATTACTTAGAAAAACATACATTTATATCTAAACAAATAAAGAAATTAACTTTGACATATTATTCAAAAACATGCATATGTAAAGCAAAATATGACAATTGTGCCCTAAAGTTAATAAGCCACATATGTGCCACTCTGCCCTTTTTGCTTGCTGGATATACTACTAGATTATGGTTTGTGATCATGAGTTCGAACAAATGTTGGTACAGTATATGACGGAGAATTGATCAAATCTAGCAGTATAGATAATGGTACGATGGGTGTAAAAAAAAACAACTTTTTTGATGTACAAGTCTCAGATTAGTAGGCATGAGAAATGTACTAGCCTGTATTGAAATACTAATAGCTCAACTATTATTTTTTTCTACATTATAACACATTACAAATATCAAATTTGATAACTGGGGAACCAATTTTGAGACTAATAATGGTTGGAGACGGCTTGAATGGGTAATGAAGAAAAACTTTAATATAAGTTTAACATAACAGCAAGTGTACAATGTTTCGACAACTTATATTAAAGTTTTTCTTCATTACCCATTCAAGCCATCTCCAACCATTATTACATTACAAATATATACATATCTATAGTCATTGCAATGACTTCTTCCACAGTATTAAAATAATAATGTCATTTACTACAGAATATTTGGTGTAGAAGTAAATTCTATGGGTAGGTAAACCAGTCTACGTAGGTGTTAGATTGATACTCCTGACAAACTAAAAAAAGATTTAATTCAGAATATATAAAAATATAAAATCTCTTGACGAGTTGTCCAGTATACATATATAACGACTAAAAACAAGAACATGGAAATTTGAAATTGCAGCTACGAAAAAATTTGTGGAGTTCAGAGTGGGCTGTTCGAGTCATTTTGACTAGACAAAGCTGTATCAGTAAAAAATAACTATTCCAATTCCTAAATAATTGGACATTTTCATTTATAAATTGGTAATTGGGTCACTCATATTTGTTTGCACATCAGGCTTACAGTGGATTAGGCTATCATTGACAAACAAATTACTGATCTTACTTGGATATAACATTTCATACAAGCAGAAGCACACTAGCCATAGGCTATAACGTATGAAATCCACAGCAGATCAAAATGCAAAATTTGGAAGCCCTAGGTAACCAGTTAGTAAATTTTTACACACCTGGTTATTTCAGTTGCTTGTAAATCTGGTCTAAGACTGTGCAGATAATTTCATTTTAGAGCAGCATCAGAAAAAAAGTTAGTGATGGAATTCATTAATTTCTTTGTCAGTTCAGACAGCTAGCTGGGAAGAACAAATAATATCACATAAATCGATCACCATGTAAGCTTCATGGATATAGCTGATAATGGATGCTGAAAAATGGAATCATTCAACCTTCAGAGAGTCCTTGGTTGTTACCAGTAGTGATAATTAGAAAGTGGGGTACCTCAAGATTCTGTGTGGACTCCAATTGAGTGAATGCAGTAACTTGTGCTAATTTGATTACCATGAATATCTTGTTGCATTAAAAAGATCACACTGGTTAGCTCATTAATTCTCTCTTCTGGTATCTAGACAATAAAAGCTGATCTATGACTGTTTGAGCACTTAAGAAAGATTGTCTGAGTTTTGTACCTGGTCATTTGCCCTCTTGTAATACAAAAGCTAATTTTGAAAGAGTAATGAAGCTCACATTATGTGGATTGCAATGAGAACAGGTTTTATACATGTTAGCAATATTTAGATGTTTGCCATACATTTCATGTAAGTTGAAAACCTGGACATGGTAGTTTACAACAAGCATGTTTGAAAGTGAGGCTAGAGAAATGTTCTATCATGTTAAAATGTGTAAGAGTTTCTTGAGCATATACTGAGCTCAATAAGGATGGATTATCTATAGACAGAGTGTGAGTAGTATAATGGTCAAAACCAACAAATGAGAAAGAAGTACAAAGTTTTCTAAGCTTTTCTAACTTTTCTACAACAGCAGTACTCTTTTCAACTAAATTCATGTTGCATTATAGGGAAATTGAGACGCGTGCAAGGTAATTCCAGTCACTAAAATGTAATTTTGTTGATGAACCTGTGTTGTCTTATTCAAGGAGAAACCTTACAATCATTTCAGAAATGGATGTTGGTGACGGTGGAATCCAAGCAGTGGTATCGTTAGGTGCAAGATTACGTAAAGCATGATATAACATACATTAGTTAAATATATTGTGTACTAAAGGCTATTACTGTATAGTTAAAAAAAAAGAACTAATGTCTAGAATTTACATATGTCATTGAAATGGCTAATGAATGATAAAGAACTGGAGGGTATAATCATATGTTAGATCACAATGTTGTAGGAGTAGGATTTTACTGTAAAGCACAAACCAAGATAGTAACATGGAAATACAAATGCACTTTCTCACTTGCAGGTCAGAACTTTTCCATTTGTAGAGTGTCCAAATCCAGGATATAATGCTGCTGTGAGACCTAGACTTCAAGTCATGATGACAAACCATGGAAATAGAAGAAACTGCAAGATGAGAAGTTAAAAGATTCACATCTAGTTTGGGTACTATGTGCCATACAGCTAGATGAAGCATAACCATCACTGATCAGTGAATAAAGTATTGTAAACTCTGGCAATTGCTTGACCTTAATCGAATGCATGGTTCCACCTGTGGTACAGCTAGAACACTGCATGATATGTTGATCAGAAAGTGTGGTGGATTGTCTCAAACTATAAGAAAAGTTTCATGACCACATTCCTACAAAGATCTAGGTCAGTGGGGTAAACACTTCACTGCTTGTGAAGTTCATAGAAACAACCATGGGATACAATTATAGATGTTCCATTCCAAAGGATAGCCCTTATTATTGCAGGGCTTCTCCTCAAAAGTGGCCACAGCAAAACTAGCATCCTGGTGATAATCAATTACTTCGTTACATGGCCTAAAGCATATGCACTGACTAATACATTGGCAGAAATAGTTGCTAACAAATTAAGTAAGCAGTGGATAAATCATTTCAAAGCATAAGAGAAAATCCATCAAGTAGCAAGTTTCAACACACAACTGTTTACAACATTGTACAAAATACATATCATGTTATCATCCTGAACCAAATGGTTTGGCTGAGAGCATTACCCAAACTCTAAACTGACTGATATGATCACCTACCATATGATGGCGTAAGAAACAAAAGATCAGCAGTTTTTATCCTCTCAAAAATTTCTGGTGTGTTGAATTGTTTACTCTTGTGTTAGTGCTGTGCACCCATGGATGGTGACAAACCATAGCGAACACTAAACTAAAGTAAAATTAAGGTCTGTAAAAAGATATATGCACTGTCGTAACTGTTCTATTACTATCAAGTTTGTTATTAACCAAAATCCATGTATGTATATTGTATGCATATACAGACTTAAATAATTATGTATGGCAAACATTCATAGAATCCCATAGGTCAAAATGTTCAAGTCAATTAAAGTGTCTACGTTCCATAGAATAAAATAAAAGAAAGAAAATACTATTGCAATATAGTTTAAGATATTGAGTAAAACGTTTTTAGTGATGTAGTTGTCCTGTCTGTACAGTACAAGGTCAGCTAGGAAAAGCACACTCCACCAGTTAAAGGTATAGCGAGGAAAAACAGGCAGAGTTTGATATATTATTTTTTTCTAAAGATCAAAACTTCAGAAATATTTTAAACACAGAAAAAAATGTTCACTCGAGAAATTTGTGACAAAAGGCCCCAAGTTTAACTTAATTTAATTCCCGGTGTTTCTTTTTTGTTGTTGTTGAATAAATATAGGTGATAAAGAAGTAAAGTACACTTGAACGTTTGTCACTACTATGCCTTCAAAGTCGAGAGAGGAGCAAGTGGCTTGTAAAGATGCTGGCAAGGCAGGCGATGCTATGCAAGATACTGCAAGAGGATATCTCAGATTTAAATATCAATCTGACCATAGAGCTGGAGGACTTACTGAGAACTCCACCCACCATCAAGTTCATCGAAGTGAATGGACCTCTAGCTCCCACAACAACAACATGGCTTCTCCTGCTTTCTGAATCATCTCCCTCTTAAGAGAACAAGGGTAAAATGTTGAAGGAGATGAGTAGCAGCTCAACTCCTGACTTCTCCCAAGTTGTCTAGAGTTGAGTTAAAGAATACCTCCAGTTCCTTCTTTTCCTACTTCAGTTGCTTCATTCTCAATTGCTGCTGACCATCTAACTGCCATACAATCCAGGTACTGATACAAAAAAAAAGGATGGATAACAAAGAAAAAATATCCAAAAAGTATGTTTCCGGTCTATTGGTGGGGTACTAGGGGAAAAATAAAGCATTATTAGAATAAAATTTGGGTCTTTTCTCTGGCAAGAATATGACCTTAAAAGAGCAAAAGAGTAAAATGACATGCTGCCAAAGTGAAATAATGACTGATACACTTCCAAAGAATTACATATCAAGAAAAAAATCCTGATTTTTTTACATTTCAGACAAGGTTTTACTCTAAAAACTAACAAAATCTTGTCTGAAACTTCTAAAAAGTTTGTTCAATACCTACAATGAATATCTAAATGATATACTCATCACCTTGAAATAGACACCTCGGAGTCCTGGATTTAATGTTTTTATATGTCATTTTAATTTCCGACATTATAAATATATTTTTTGAATTTTAATTTATCTTGTACCTTCACTTTTGATTATTTGTATGCTTTATATTTTTTATATTGACTTTGTTTTTTGATGTTTCTTTTTTTATGTAGTTGATTTAACAGGTTTTATTTATTGATCTGTCATTCCTTTTTCTATATTATATATGTTGTTTTATTTATCATTATTGTTTCTCCTTTTAATTAAATGTTAGAAGTGGAATCTATCACATTTAAAGGACTTAACTTGATGATCATTATGTATTTAACGGATTCCATTCTCTCATTTTAATATTTTATGTTCTAAAGAGCTTTACTGTTATGCTAATACTGTATTTGTTTAGATGTATTGCTTTTGTTTAGTTTGTTTTTAAATTTCTGACTGGTTTTATTACTGTAGATTTCACATTGTCAGCAGCTAATGACACCCCCTTATTTTATGTTTCTTGTATTACATGTCTCCCTCATTTTCATAAACCTCTAAATTTATGTTTATTAATATTATTATGCTTTCTTTGGTATGTATAAATTATTTACTTGTACAGTTTATTTTATGTATTTCATACGTATTTGATCCTATATTTTGGTTGGTTCGTATAGGTATATACACATTTTTTGATTATGTAATTCTCATCTTTGCCATGTAAATAAAGGATTCATTTCCATATGAATAATTTATCATGCTTTGTTGTTTTGTATTTTGTGATTTAAATAAATGTGCATTTTTTATTGTATTTCATTTTATCTTTAAAAGGTTCTATTTCGTTTCTCGTGTATGCATTGTTTGTGCTTTTATCTTGTTGTACACCCCATGCCACTTCATTGTCTAACCTAAGGTTACAATATAGCTGGATCACATGAAGTTGTAATGGTATTACTTTTAATTAAAGATAGAACTGGCTTGAGGAGAAGTTTTCATAAAGTATATATATTCCATATTTACAACTTTTAAATGTTTCTAAAGTTCTTATTTGCAACATACTAATATGCAAACATTTAAGTAAATCCATACAATCAATATTAAATTGTTCAATGAGTCCACGGATACACACTCTTATTCTCTTGTTATAGTGAAATAATATAGTTTATTTCTTGGATAAATGAGGCTTGAGGTGTAAACAATTTCATTTTAGTCATGGCCAAATACATCCCTGCTTTTCTTATGCTCTGCATTTTACATCTCAATGTTTATAATGTCAATGATACAAACTGGTTTTAAAAATATTGTAAATTACTAGAAAAATGAGCATTAAATATTTCAGTTTTAGATATAAAAAAAAGTAAATGCTTTGATAATATTAAGTAAGAAACTTTCAACAGTTAATATATTTCTGTATATGGCCACAACAAAGGGATCAAAGCACTGTCAACTTAAAAACATCTGTGCAGAAGCCATCCATAAGAAAGTTCAATAATTCTATATTTTTGTTGTCTAAACTTTCAGTAAATCAAAATATATTCATTTGATAAAACTAACAATTGTGTTATGCATTAGAGTTCAGTTACAGTGCCCAATCTAAAAGACGAAAACTGCTTTTTCAGTGTCATTCGTTGGTATTTAAATAACTATGTTTCAGCCTTGGTGTCATATCTAAAAGGTTAACACCTATGTTTTTTAATGTTACTCTTATAATTTTAAATATCCTGTTTCAGCTTTGGTGTCCTATCTAAA